CCCCCCCCCCCCCCGGTGATGTGCTTCCTAAAACCTCCCAAAACAGCGCTATCATCTGGAGACAAAATGTCCAAATACTTGCTATGGGGGACATTTTCATTCAAACCATCATATTCCATCACATTCCATGAATTAATTAAGGGAGATTTTTTGTTCACTAGAGCAAGCAGAACAATGGCCACTTAAAAGTTGCAGATCCCAAAGTTTAGAAGTCTTATATGCTAGCTATCCTATAAAGAAAAGAGTTAAGTTACAGATCTCCATATGGGAAGATGAGACCTGATTATCCAGTGGACCTTATCTGATCACTAGCACCTTCCAAAAGAGGTAGAGCAAGGTCCCATGCACATAGGCAAGGAGGTGACATGACCATGGAGGGAGCCATTGGAGTGGTGTGATCACAAGTCAAGGAATGACACCAGCCACCAGAATTGAGAAGAGGAATGGATTGTCTCTTGAAGCCTCCAGAGAGAGTGTAGCTTAGGTGGCACCTCTCTGAAATGAACTGTGAGATAATATATTTCTGTTGTTTTGTGACCCTAAGTTGTGATCTTCTGTTACTTGCCATTGGAAACTCATTCTTAGTGGCTCACTTTTCTGGCTCTGGCGTTGTTAGCTACATGTGACTATTCCAATCCGGAGTACTGATCATTCTGTAGCAGCAGAAGCTGGGACAGGATGACTGGGGACTTAGATGAACTGTCTTGTAGAAGGGCTAAGAGGTGCTCTTCTAACCTCTGGGTAATGACTGACAATAACTGTCTACTCCTGGGCCCAAGGTCAGACTCAAATTCATGTCATAGGATGGTATTTGGCAATTGGGCTTATGATACTTTTAAATGGTGGTCTGTTCCCCATGTCAAGGGCATGGTACAGAGAAGACAGAGAACGACTGTTGTTGAAAACTGTTCTGCTGCCCAAACCACACCTCAGTTCTTTGAGATACATGAATTTCTTTTTAGCATTTTTGTGCTTCTTTTTTTGTGGAAGAGAGTGCCTAAGATGATATTTATGGAGTATAAACATTAAAAAAATATTTTATATATTAATTTTCATTTTATGTTATGAGTGGAGATCAGAAGAGGGTGTTGGAACTCCCTGGTTCCAACCAGGATGGTTGTTAGCTGCCATGTGTATGTCAGGATTTGAACCTGAGTCTTTTGTAAGAGCAATCTTAACTGCTGACCCATCTCTCCAGCCCCCAGGGTATAAACATTTTTGTAGCTACTAAAAAGATAGATTAAAAACTTGGGAGGCAGAGGCAGGTAGATCTCTGTGAGTTCAAGGCCAGCCTGGTCTACATAGTGAGTTCCAGGACAGCTGGGGCTATAGGGAGACCCTCTCTCAAAAAGACAAAAAAAAAAAAAAAGATCAATAACAGGATCAACATTATCCTTTCTTTGCTAATTCTTCAGAAGCTTGGATTATAAGAAGGCTCTTGCCTGCTGGAAAGGCTCTCCAGAGACCAAGGGGACAGGTACTCTGAATAGTCCTTTACTTGGAAAGGCCAACTTTCTCCAAAATAGAGGCCATAATTAGTTGGAAGTTTAATTTTTTAATCCCCATTTGGGATCTGGCTGAGGGTCAGTCCATTAATGGGAAACATGTGCATAAACTCCCTGCTCTATCCACCTTCTCCTCTGGCTTGCCTTCCTCTTTTGAGGCCGACATCCAGTGCTTTTCAAGTTTCTATGCCTGTTTGCACTTGCCAGGAGGAAACAGTGTGTGTCTTGTTCTCTCTTCAGTCAGCTTCTTGTGCATGTTGTAGAGGCCTGGGCCATTCTCCAGCTCCAAATTTTTCTGTTTTAGATGATCAAAACCCACATCACAGATACTAACAAATAACATCTGTATCATCTTTCTAAAATCTATGTGGTAATCTCTAAATCCACTGATTAATTACTTATGAAGAAAACAAAGCATAAGAAAAAGCTCTGCAAATCCCTGCCTTCCTGTTTATGGGGAGAAATGTTGAATAACTAAATATTTCTCAGAATGAATGCCTGAGAAGTTAATGCTAGGAAGGGCAAGAGATTGCATTAAAAATATAAAACACTGAGGGTTTCAACTGTGTGTTGAAAAGTCTCATTCTTTGTTGAATTACTTCCTTTTCCCCATCTGTGACCTTTTTGAGAGTAATGTCCAAGCTAGCTAAGAACCACTTATATTTTTAATTCATTTGGCATCTGAAGCATTTGCACATTTACTATGTGCTAAATTTAAGTAAAGCATCTGATGAATGATTAAAGAAGAAAAGCTCCTTAGAGAGAGGACAATATCTCCCATATGTGTGGACCACCAATGTCCAGGGACTACAACGTCCATTGGGTCTTGGCCCCCATTCCCAAGAAGGTCTGGTACTAACTAAACCCAGGTTGTTATGAGTTCAGTGTCCTAGAGAAATCACTCAGGGATTCTAGTTAACTTACTAATCATCCATGTCTGGAGCTCAGTACTGATAGGATGGGTCATACCTTGAGACTGAAAAATGTATCCATGTTGAAAATGTTTCACAATGCACATTTTGCCTTCATAGATTTAGTCTACCTTAACTTGACTATTAAAGTAAGTTTTGATTATATGGTAGTGATCAGAGGAGTTAAAAATTATTTACTCCATTCTTAGCAAAAATGAACATTTCAACACAATTTGTAAGAAGAAAATGTTTAGCCCTTTGTTACTTATTATTTTTTATGATTACAAAATAATCATAGAGTCAGCTATTGCAGTATAATTTTTTTAGGATTTAGTTTTCTTCAGATAAGCTGAACTAAAATTATATTTCTTTTAAGCTTAAAATAGTATGTAACTATGAAAATGTTTAGAACAACATTTTCTGTTTGTTATATTTCGAGACAGGGTCTCACTATGTAACCCCAGCTGGCCTGGAACTTGCTGTGTAGATCATTCTAGGCTAGCCTTAATCTCATAGGGATCTGCCTGCCTCTGCCTCCCTGGAATTAAAGGCATACTATTCTAATATCAGAATTCACATCCAATGAGCCATTTCACCATTGAGCAGAATGGTGGTTGTAGGTTTTTCTTTGATGTCCTTTATCTAGTAGAGTAAGTTTTTACTTTGGTGAGAAGTCTTATTCTAAATTGGTATTGGAATTGTTGAATCTATTGAACTAATCATATGGTTTGATTTTGCTAATGTGTTTGAATTATATTAATTTTTTTATTACTTACCTACTAATTAATTTTGTGTGTGCAGGGGATCATGGTGTACCACAGTGTATATCTGAAGGTCAAAGGATAACATGCAAGAGTCAGTTCTTTCCTATACCAGGTGGGTACTGGGGATTGAACTCAGGTTGTCAAGCCCTGATGGCAAGTACCTTTACCCATTGAGCTCTCTTGCTGGCCCTGAATTACATTGATTTTTAAATACTAAATGGAACTCATACCACTCTGAATATTGCATGGTGTGGTGGATTGAATGAAAATGTCCCCCCTAGGCCCAAGTATTTGGACAGTTTGTCTCCAGTGGGTGGTACTGTTTTGGGAGACTTTAGGAGGTGTGGCCATGCTGGAGGAAGCACTTAAGCACTGAGTTCTTAAGCCTTGCTAGATTTCTAGCCTCTCTGTTTCCTGTGCCTGCTTGAAGATGTGATCACTTGGCTTCTGGTCTGGCCACCTCCTGCTGCCACGCCTCCCCTGCCATTATGGACTCTTACCTCTAGAAATGTAAGTTCAAATAAACTCTTCCCTTGGTCATGGTGTCCTACCACAGCAACAGAAAAGTAACTAATACACATGGTTATGATGCATTATCCTTCACACCCCTGGATTTTAGATATAAAATTTTATACTTGCTCATGAAGGATAAGAGTTTTTATTTTAAAAGGAGTTTGTAATTTTATTTATTTATTAAATTTAATTTTTTTGTTTTATGTATATGACTGTTTTGCCTGCATGTATGTAACATGTGTATGCAATGCCTGTGGAGGTCAGAAGAGGGCATTAGATTCCCTGGAACTGGGATGCTAGTCTCCATATGGGTGCTGTGAACTGAACCTGGGTCATCTGAAAGAGCAGTCACAACTCTTAACTGTTGAATCATCTCTCCAGCCCCTGCATTATTTTTTTGTAATTCATTGGTAACAGGATAATGCTTCCTCTGTAAAATGAGTTAGAAGAGTTTCTTCATCATTCATTTTCTAAAATAGTTTATAAAGAATTGTGTATGTTTATTTGAATTAAATCCTTACTGTAATTAACCAGGAAAGGCAATTTCACCTGGTGGCTTCATTGTTAGAATGCTTTCAATGCTTAATTTATTATTATTATTATTTTTGTCTTTTTGAGGCAAGGTCTCCCTGTAACTGTAGCTGACCTGAAACTCACTATATAGGGCTGGCCTTAATCACACAGACATCTGCCTGCCTCTGCCTCCCAAGTGCTGGGAATAAAGGTGTATGTCACCATGCCCGGCTTAATTTAATCTTTTTAATCAATATCCTATTTCATTAAAAATTATGTTCATTTTGAAATTTGTACCTTTTAATTACTTTGTCTAATTTATCTAAACATTTTAGGTTACTTGGGCTAGAGAGAGGGCTCAGTGATTAAGAGCATTGACTGCTCTTGCAGAAGACCCAGCTTTGATTCTCAGCACACACAGAGTTTCACATATAGCTCTGGCTGTCCTGACCAGGCTGACTTCAAACTCATAGAGATCTGCATGTCTCTGCCTCCCAAGTGCTGGGATTAAAGGCGTGCACCACCATACCTGGCAGTTCTTTCTTTTCTTAGTATAAGCATTTCATTTTTCTCTAAGCACTATCTGAATCTGACAAATTTTGATATTTTGCATTTTCCTAATGATTTTGCTGACACAACCAAACAATATCCAACCCCTAGCAGTCATGTATGTATCTTACAGTATGCATTATCTTATTATATGTATCTAAGATACTGATCATATTATCATCATATACAATCTGCATGATATCATCAAACTGGTAGACCAACATGATGAGGACTTGTGTGTAGGGGTGGTAGAATCAATGTCGCTGATGATTAAATTATCTTTGGTAAAGCACTAAAGAATTGATATAGTCCTGCGGTAAAAACATGAAGATGTAGAGTGTATTGATATATTAGATAAGTAAAAGAAAGATTGTAATGTTTAGTGAAAAAAACATTTTTCTTACTCTTTTTAAGACATGGTCTCCCTGTGGCCCCAGCTGGCCTGGAATTTGCTGTGTAGACCAGGTTGGTCTCAGTCTCACTCACTACTTGTAACTATTATTATCATTATTACTTTTTTAATTTTAATTTTTTTGTCTTTTTGAAGCAGGGTCTGCCTGTAGCCCCAGCTGTCCTGGAACTCACTATGTAGACCAGGCTGGCCTTGAACTCACAGAGTTCTGCCTGCCTCTGCCTCCTGAGTGCTGGGACTACAGGCATGCACCACCACACCCAGCTCACTACTTATAATTTTTATTCTGGGTGTATTGTGTTGAGCAGGAAGCACAGCAGCAGTGGTGGCAGGAAAGTAGCTAAAGAGTTCCAGAGCCCAGCCAGCTATCTCTATTCTGTGGGGAACAGAGATAGCTGAGACAGCCAAGGAGAGACGAGGAAGGTGAGAAGTAGCATAAAGACTGTGACAAGTAGAAGACTGTGAAGACTTAAAGATGAAACACTATGGCCTTGGTTTCTAGAAGAGTTTCAGGGAGATGACAGTCCCTAAGTCCACAGGTCCTGAAAATACCCAAACCTGAAAGCTATGGCACTAGCTACTATTAGGAGCTGAGCAGGTCCTGGGAATCAAGGATTGAGGGTCCTGGGAGTCATAGATTGACAACTGAATCTGATCAGAGGTCTCTTTCTCTGACTACCTGCCTAATTTAGAATAAAATATGTCCTAGTCTCCTTCAAAAAGAAGCCCAAAGATAATTGAGTTTCTTAACTAACTCAGAGACCAGGGTAAATGTAAGATTTTATAGATAGAAAATTATGACTTTGTGATGGATTATTTGTGAGTTTGAGATGGAGGGAATAACTGGCAGATGTAAAAGATTTAGTTTTAGCTTTGGATACATAGGGTATAAAATAGCTGTAATTCTATTGGGACAAGTATGAAGAATCATTTGAAAAGATTATATGACCACAGATACGAGAGGTGGTCATGAATGTATAGACAGTGGAAAATTGATGTATCTTGGAACCTAAAGGAAGAGATTCTTAATATGGAAATTGGTAACCAAGCGTTCAAGAATATGGAGATTTCCAGTTGAAGATGGATGATGGTATTGAAATAAAAGGTGGATGGGATTAATGGAAAGGAGAGATACTGAGGACATTCAAAACAATGGCTAGAGGAATTTCTTTAAGTCTTTTGAAACAAGATAGCAAGAAGAGTTGAGATCTGGAACAGGGCAAAGAGCTTGTGAAACAGATTTCTCTGCCTGCTCGCATCAGCTTCCAGACAGCAGAAGTTCTTCTGGTATATTCTGCAGTCCAGAAATTAGAGCCCATTGCTCTAGTTGAAACCTCACAGACGAAGCCTGGCGAAACAGAAAAAAGTTACACCAGTTCTGGTTGTGCTTGTTGGTGCTTCATGGCCATGTAGCCATTGGGAATGAAGGACTTCTAATGCCTCCTCCCCTAAAGCATAGAGAGTTACTATTGCTCCTTTAAAAAAAAGCAGTTTCACTCACTCAAGAGATGAATGTCAGCCACCATAAAAGTCACCCAAAGAACAGCTCCCTTAGAAGCAGGGATGTGACTAGGCAGGTGAAGCTGCAGGATTGGCAATTCTGAGCAAAGGAACTGGGAAAGGACAGATTTTAGCACTGTGAGCTAGCTCCTTTCCCTGGGAAGCACCTCTTTTTTTCCTGCAAATAGGCCCATCAATAAGATGGGGATTCAGGAATCTGCCTTCAACTCATTCTATCCCCTTTCTGGCTTCTTTACTGGAGCCAATGGACTGAATATTTGGTGGTTAATATATCCAAAATCATGGTGATTTTTGTTGGTTCCCACATAGAATCATCAGAAACAGGATTATCAGAAGCTACTATTAAATCTATGATACAATGTGACTAAGTTTATTTAAGTGACAGACACAGGGACTTAGATGAGAATTGTGCCCTCAAGTCTTTCCAACTTAAGACTCTCTGGTTCAGCATGAAGGGAGATGGCATTCTCTCACAAGGTAACTAAAATAGATAAAATCATTGCACAGCTTTCAAACAAGTCCAAACCAGCCCTGGCTTCATATAAAGGAAGGCCGCTTCTGTTGACAAGAGCCCCTCAGTGAAGGCTAACATGACATATTTATAGTCATGAGAATCCTACAAAAGACTTACTTTTCAAATTCTTGGTGTCTCATTCTTCATCCTAAATGTGATAGCATAGCATGGATGTGAGTAAGGTTGTAATTTCAAGTACGTGGTAATTTAGCAGTGATATTTGGCTACAACAGTCACTCACTCACAAGAGGCAAGGGCTTTTCCAAGCAGTTTTGGAAGCCTATGCCTTGAACTCAGCACTTAACACTCTGATCTGTTAATTTATCACTCGGTCCTCTAGAACTTTGAACTTCCAGCCCATTTCAGCCCTTGCTTTCCTGCTACTCAGTCCAGGGGTGTATTGCACCAATCATTCAGTTTCCCAGACTTGTCTTCAATATGGCAGATTGAAAGTAACAGTCACTCTGTGACAAGGCCTTCATCTCAACCTTAATAGATAGCCAATCTAAGTTCCCGTGGTGTGTGTGTGTGTGTGTGTGTGTGTGTGTGTGTGTGTGTGTATGTATGTGTGTGTGTACCAGAGGTCAGCCTTGAATGTTGTTCCTCAGCTGTTGTCCACCTTGTCTTTTGTTTGTTGTTGTTTTGAGACAGGAGTCTCTGACAACTTGGAGCTCACCAAGTAGTCTAGGCTGTTTGGCCAGCGAGACATAGGGATCCAACTGTCTCAACTTCCCCATGTGCAGGAATTATAAGAGCTCACAGTCCATGTGGATTTTGGGGGTTGATCTTAGGTCTTCATTCTCCACAACACGTACTTCACCAGTCCCAAGTTTCTGTGCTCTGGGTGTTCCATTGCCTAATACTACATCTACCACCAATCACTGTGTAACCTTGTGTTTTTTGGTGCTACCATATACAGGAACTAAGCTGGAATGTTCTATATCCAGAATTCCAAAATTCAGAAGCAGTACATAGTCTACATGAACAGAATCAAAAAGGTGCTTCACACACAAGACAAAAGGTTTTGGAAGTACAATGTTGACCACCACTGATGCAGACTTGCCAAACATCCTTAT